TATTCGAATATTCGAATATTCGAGTATTCGAGTATTTCTATTCGTGTGTTCGTATTCGAGTGTTCGTTTTCCGTTTACCGTTTTCCAAGAAGAAAAATCGTTATCTCATATCATTTTTGGCAACTAGCCGCAACCGATAAAAAAGTGCCTTTGTTGGCACATTAATTGTAACACCGCGCAAAAGTTGATGACGCGTATCACCAGAACACAGAGACGTAATTTTACGTTTATTTGCAGGAGAGTAAATATGATTATTTTCATTTACTTGTAAATATATAGGTATTTGTTTAAATACTTGTAGAATATGAATAATTTATTTTATAAAAGTATACAAAGTGCATATAAAGATACTTGCACCTTGTGAGTTTGATAATGTTGGTGTATTCGAGTATTCGAATATTCGAAGATTCAAGTTATGACTACACATAATTATTCGCTTTTCGAATATTCGAATATTCGAGTACTCGAATTATTCGAGTTTGATTCCGAGCCCTAGTTGTAATTGATTTTTGGACCATCCTGAGGAATGTAAAAATTAATGAGGGTCCGAGCTTTTCCCAATTCCCAAATAGGGATAGTTTTCACACCGGAAGCTAAATTTGAATATAATCCACTTTTTACACATTCACATTTCTGAAAAATGAAACAACCAAGTTTCACTACTTTGACGAAACATGACTTTTTCAGCTCAGGTGCGTTTCGGTGGCTATTTTCACCGTTTTAATCTTCCGCCGACAAATAGTGATTCAGATTTCTCCTCTTCACTTCTTCCAAACCTAAAGAATGGTGATTCAGATTGCTCATTGATAATCAATCACTCTTATATTTGCTGCTCTGTATCAGTTAGACAGTATTCTAGAGATGAATAAATGTCTGGATTAGAGACAGTTTCAGCCTATCAGCTTATATTTCCTCAATCAGATAGATCACCGAGTTCCGACAGCCGTAAGAAATATGCCCCATCCCAAAACAAACTTCAAAAGAATTGAAGAAATAAAGCAACGTACACAAAAAGGGTCCCTAAAATACAACCGAACCAAATTCGTCGCGTCATGTCCTATTGGCTGAATGGAAAAAATCTTTCGATTGCAGAGCTGTGCCAGCTTATGTGGCGCCTGAATAGAGCCATAGCTCATTCCACAAAACTAAACTGACTTCTATCTTCTAGATGTAGGCCGAAAAACACACTTCCAACAAGGTCATCTCGAGTTCCGTCTCGCTTCCCATTTCCAGCACCGCCTATGCAGCGTCCCTTTTCGTCCTGTAGGGAACTGGGCTAACCTGGTTCGGTCCCTGGAATCGATATTTAGACGCCTGTGACGTCAGACGACGACGTCCTGCGGACTTTTGCGAAAAACTGCGATCGTCCAGGTGGTGTTTCCGATTGACATTTGTTCATATGTGAACAGTGTTTATTCTTGTTTAAATAAATGCATTGACATTGTGATTAAAAGAACACTAACAAATAGAGTGAACGACCAGGCTGTGCCTGTGCTGAAAGTTGGGGCGACTGTTGGACAGAATTGGACAGACCAGACGGGGGTTCGGTGTATTTGGGGTGTTGAAAACCATGCAGATTGACACAAAACGCATTGAGCTGGCCATTTGAACCTCGAAAGTTGTTGTTTTCTTGTTCAACAATGACCTAGTCTGGTGGGTTAAATAGTGAAATCGCGAACTCGGGCTGCAATGTGACAGTGAATGCGAGCTAAATGTACCTCATTGACCTGGACCTACCTTACGTGATGATTGGGGGACCGAAATGGGGTGCCGTGGTCTGAAAAGACCATGACATCTCGACCAACACTGGCCATTGTCGAAGAGCAGGAAACGTTCGCCCCACACCTTAACCTTACTGTACAGGTACAGGAGCAAACATACAAAAATTATGAAAAATTGGGGATTAACAAATAAATTGTCTGATGTTTCTTATTGAAGTTCAATTGACTCTTAATGTTGCGTATATTACTCATATTTTTAAAATTGATAGCAATCTCCAATGTTAAAGTGGAGTTGGGGGAGATAAAATTTAAGTTGAGTCACTATTATCCTGGCACATGGGTGTTAAAAATGCATACGGTGCGAGAAATGTTGGCTATAAAATTAATTCAACCGGACATATGTAGGTGAGTTTTTAATGAAGTCTTTTTCGCGTAATTTTTCGCGCTCCCTTAGCAAAACCGGAAGTATTTTAGTGTGTTTATAGCGAATTTATGCATGATTTAAAGATTCAAATTGCAAATTTACGTACATGATGACGGCTCCAGAAACACGTAACTTGCTATGGTAAATAATTTTGCAAATGCTAAAAAGTTGCCTCAAATGGACAGGTTTTTAATAAGAATTTATAAAACTTTTGCCAATATTTGCTTAATTTTTTGAGCTTTATTCCTTGATTTGTTAAGTTCGTTTCTTTCCCAGCAATGAATTGCTTTTGTTTTTTTTGCGTATTCTATTTTTTTAATTTGTTGTTTGTGATTTTAATTAATAAGGAAATTTTCGAATCACATCTTTTCATACATGTTTAAAACTCAGCCGCATTCTTCCGCAAAAAAACGCAATTATTTATAAAATTTAGCAATGGGTTTTCTCCTAAAATACGGTGTTAAAAATTGATACGTTAGGAGAACGGTTTTAGGTGTTAAATTCATATCGGACATTATGTAGATGAGTTTTTAATGAAGTCCTTTACCCGCAATATTTTATTGTGTTTGTGACGAATTTATTTATGTATGCTTGAAAGATGAATTGTAAATTTAGCAAAATTGCAAAATACATTAAAGTTCTTAAATTGATCGTGGAATAAACGGAAATTTCTGCAAAAGTCCAGTACTTTTTTAGGGTGGGCTAATAAAGTTCAAGGCGGTGCAAGGAGACATGAGACAAACGTTGTTATATATCGATTATTTCACTATATTTACTTACGTCTCAATAAAAAGGTACTGGCGCTTGCTGATTTATAATTCTTTATGTATTCTATGCCTAATTCTTAATAAACACGCAACTTTTTACTTTATTTATTAATTGTTTTCTTCTGAGGCTTAGATCGAAACGTAGATTTATTCTAAACAATTTTACCTAACATAACTTCATCTTTTTTAATTGTAAACAAGCAGTGCTTGATATAAGTCCATCTAGATCCTTACTAAAACGATTTTAGCTGGATTTCCATCAACTTCCTATATCAATTATCAATGCAGCTTTCAGGTCTCTCAAGAAACTTAGATTTTGCAACAAACGCTGTAAAACCAATGTATTTTTAGTAACATTTTTTTTTCACTAATTTCTGATTTAAAAGTTTTGCTATAGACATCTGAGCGCACATAAAAAATCTCTCTAAATTAGTCGTACCTTGATTTAGACATTTTCATTCGGAATCCATTTATTTTGCTTGCGGTAAAGAAAAACGTAAGTCTGCAAGCTCTGAAGCAACAAAACAAAACTTCTTCGTAATAAATAAAGAACAAATTTCAATAACGAAATATATTCAAATTCAAACTCAAAATCCATGGCGAATTATACAATGCGCTTAAAAATATTAAAATACAATAAAAATTACCATATAACAATAACAGATAAATAATCAATAAATAAATTACATGGGTACCTTCAGTTTTAGTTCGGACTTAAATGCTGCCAAAAAAATATTAAAAAATGACAAATCTAAATTGTTAGCAGTCCTGCATACTCTGTCGATAATCATAAAGTGACTGTAATTGGTGTTATGAGTTGCCAAGTAAAATATAGATTAACTTCTGATCGTTCTCTTAGGAACATGGAAATTCAATTTACTGAGCAAATAAGGGCAATTTATATGGTAGTTAATTAATTTAAATAAAAATATCATTTCACTTTCCAATCTTCTATGTTCAAGCGTTTGAATTTATAATTGATGTCGTAATTGTTGGTAAACCAAATCATCTAAAGGTATAGATGCCTTGTAGGCGCATCTTAGAAATTTATTTTGAATACTTTCTATCTTATTTATATGTACATGATAACTAGGCGACCATACAATATTGGCATACTCCAAGATACTCCTGACACAAGACATATACACCACTTTTATACATTTAACACTTCTGAAGTCTTTAGTTGTTCGTTTAACATATCCCAACATTTTTAAGGCTCTATTTTTGGTAATATCAATGTGGTAATTAAATGAAATCTTAGCATCAAAGTACACACCCAAATCCTTTATACAATTCACGGATTCCACTTCAACTTGTTTTATCATATATGGAAATAAAAACATAAGTATAATATAAAACGAAAATACAAAATCTTTCACCACTTTATACTCTATCCTTACCTGACTTCAACCTGCTTTCATTTCTCTAAGAAGCACCATTTAATTTTATTTTTTAATTCGACGCCTATGTTGTTTTAAGTAACCGAACCGCATACCGCTTGATGATGCAGGTAAATGCAATGACAGGGTGAAGCCGGCTTGTAAAGTATGGTTGCACCCTCTTTTTAATTCGTTTCCTTCACACAAAAGGTGCATTTGAGCGGATTTAAACATTGCGTCAGACTCCGTAAAGCTTTTGCTTGTATATTCTTACGGATTAACTTGGCATGACTTTTTCTAGAGAATGTTACGCTCTGAAATTAGAGTCCCTAGACAGAAAAAGGGACTGGATCTTACAGCTGTATTAATATAAAAGAGTTTTTTTTGACGGGGGTTGGGATTGTCCAGTTGCATGTTTTAGAGGATTTGGAGTTCAATTGAAATGAATAGAGTACTTTATAATTAAATTTGATTCAACATTAATTGTAATACGAATATTTTCAGCAAAAGGTTCTCGTGTTTGGCGGTTCAAGAGTATTGTTGAAAAAAGGCAACATATAATTTATAGGAAAGTTTTAATTAAAATGGGGATGGGACATCGATCCTATAACATCGATGTTAGGGAAACATCGATGTTTCATGATAGTTTGCCGTTGGATACAAATTTTAAATTGATTAACTTAAACTTAAATAATTTTATTTTACTACTACTATGACATTAAAAAATCGACTAAATTTATTCAACTTACAGTTGCCACAATTTTCGGTAAACTAACTCCAAAAAGAAGCTTTTATCGAGTTCAGCTGGAAACGGGCCGCTATGCCTGGTATCGTTTGTATCGGTACTATCAAAGAGTTCGCAGAAAATGTTTCTATCTAGTATCAACATCAAATGTCCGATGTTTTCATTTCAGAATCTAACATCGATGTTTTATCGATGTCCCAAATTTCCAACATCGATGGTAAAAATGTCGAACATCGAACGAAATACATCGATGTTTTTCTCCTATCCCTAATTCAAACCTATATGGGCTCGAATAGTTAAGTTGCAAACAAATTTGTTTAGTCAAAAACTAAATTGTTTGGTACGGATCGATTTACAATCACGTACTTCAGCTAAACGAAGTACTTTAAAAGTTTTATCTGCAACCGGATATTGACTGCTGGAAAATTACTTTTAAGTGTGTTAAATGAAGGTTATTGCGACCTCTACAAAACTCTTACCAAGAAAAGCCTCAGTGCCTATCAGTTCAAATGATGCAAATTTTGTATTCGATATGATAACGTATAATAAGAAATAACTGGTTTAAGTTCCAGTTTAGATCGAAGCCAATAGCAATTCCTACCCCTCAAAAGAGCACTTTGCCTAACTTTTAAATAACGCATAGTAATAAATCTAAAAAACGAATTTGTTCGGTATATATCCCTGACTTTTCCCATTTTCTGTGGCACTTTTTATGCATAAAGCGCCGGAGACACAAAAGTTGGCCGTTAAAACAACAACAGAAATGACGGGATTTTCAAAGAATTGGACCGACGCTCGTATCTTGACCAGTAAACTTCAATAAAAAACATTTTCAAATATCGTTTTATGGCATTTATGTATCGCGAGGATCTACCAATAAATGCCGAAGATTCGGTTTTATTGCGAAACAACTTTTCTATTAAATTTAGTCGAATCGCTTCCTATTCACAACCAGCCATTGCTAGGCAATTTTATTTAAATTTCGAATATAAATGTTCCTTTATTCAGCCCAATCATGGCACGCAATAAAACGGTTTATGGAGAATTCAATGGTTAATGAGTTCGAGTGACTTTTAATTTTTGCTTTCTGTTTTTCACGATTAATTTTATTTAAAAGATGCTAAATTGTTCAAAAGATTCTTTGCCTTTCCGCGTTGTTAGTAACAAAAAAATTCTGACAAAGGCAAAACAAACAGTGTATAAAATACACACATAAAACCAAATACGGATAGGTTGGTTTTTAGTTTCATCTTAAAACTTTTTGGTTGGAAACTGAATAAACATTATGAAGGATTGAAATTTGTAAGGAACTAATCCAGGCCCATATAAAGATGGCTTTGATCTTTAACCGTCTATTTCTTTCATACGGAAGACTCAAACACTCTATACACATTTCATACATTGATCTTAACTAAACCTTCAAGTCGAGAGTAATAAAAAGAAGTTTTCCTTGGCCGATATACAAAAATGCTTCACAATTTGCATTGCATTTGGGTGGTCATCATCATCAAAACGGGCCCGTCTTGAGCCTGCAAATTGTTAGAACAAACGGATGGTGAATGCATCTAACGACTGACGGGCAGCGATTTATATCTGTCGTTAATAATTTTGGCCTTTTCAACATTTTTTCAAGACAACCGCAACTGACTTTTGGTACCTGTTGGCTTCAAGCGTCCTTCCCGCTGCGATGCAATGAAGAAAATATCAGGTCCAATTTTCGTGGGAGTGGTTCGATTCATTTCGTCCACCTTGCATTTCGAATGTTAAATCCTCTTACAATACCCCCTAACACCCTATATCTAAACCTGCATCCCTTAGAGCAATTCCGTGGACACTCAGGGGTGGATTTCACTTTACTTAATACCTAAATTCGCAGTCGCTAAAGAATGGAACAATTTGGCGAATTGCGTAAGATGCAGCAACTCTGCATATCTGAACATGACTTTGAAGAACAACAGCTTCAGTAGTAGTTTTAAATACGCAGATAAAAATTAGTGAAGCAAATCTAGACTCTTCACTAACAGATTGAAGATCCACTATAGTCCAATCTTCCATAAACAGGGTGTTATTTTCTTACCAGTTTAATATTTTATTTTCAATATTTCAGTGAGTGATTCACTCCAGTTCCTCAATTCTTTACTTCCAGAATCATTGGCTACAAATCATCATTATGTATATAACTCCTACGATTCTGTAATATTTTATTGGAATACTCAATTAATTCAAAGTATTCTTTTTTCGTTTCTTTGTTACAATAAATATCTGAAAATCCACCCCTGTGTTATCCATCTATTCTGATCCTCGTCTATGAAATCTGCTATATAATTGTAGCCCTTGTCCCGAAATCATGATAAATGTGAGCATTTTATTTTCCAATGGAACATTTTTACATTAAATTAATGAGGCTAAAAAAGTAACGTCCAGGTAGAAAAGATTTAATTTTAGATATTTTACTGACCTTTTCGGTGTTGCATCGTCTATTCGTTTTCTTTTAGGAAACCTAAAATGCCTGGAGTATTGTTAATGGATAGCGAAGTCTAATCAAGAATCAGATTCTTCTGTTTGGAATTTATCGGCGAAATTAATAAATTAATATCGAAAACTCTCTCTTTAACTGTGATATAAGACACGGCACTGGTGTAGACATTAAATTAATTAAAACTAAATGTCAGTTTAAGTAATAAATAAGTATAAAGCGATTTTTTCCTGTATAATTAAAATAATTAGATTATTACTGTACCTACTGCTGTTTATGGGACACGACGATTTGTCTAGATGGCCATTTGTCTATCTTCGCCCAAATTCCATATGTTGTTTTTCGAAATTTAATAACGTAAAATTTGTGCTTTTTCGGTTAGCGATTATATCGAATGGTTAATTGCTTGAACCACGAAAGCTCATCCACTAGATTTGCTGCTACTTTTACCCATCTGCTCATACATGACGCAACTTGATTAAGTTCGATGGTTTTTGGGTATTTTTTGGTTCATCGCCATCTGTAACAGGCCGAACTTTATAGGAAGACGTTTTATGCTGGTTTGCGACTCGTTTTCAGGTTTTATTAAACTGATTCTTCATTATCTCAGTGGCCTCAATATTTAGTATAAAATATTTCAATGTAAATTGGAGTGTCCGATTTTGTTGCGGTTTTATAATGTGTTTATTACGTAATACTCCAAGCCTTATTATTATATTATAGCTAGGTAATTTAATATTCAAGCCTAATTATGGGTTTTGCTGTTAAACCCGTCCGACTTTATAAACAGCCAGACGTTCGTGCTGAGATAAACTCTTTCTGACTAAAAATTTTATTACCTCTAATGCTAGGCACCCAATTCAGTATCTATGATTAAAGCCGTGGTTTAAATTAAAGCGTCTTAATGTGCAGTTATCGTCTAAGCCAATATAAAAATAGATGCAATCAAGAGAAAACTGTAACATTTTATCACTTACTTTAACAAAGTTTATGCATTTTGAGCGAAAACAATTTTTCTTTGCAGTGTTTGGTTCGGCCTGAAGAGGCTGATAATTTGGGGGCATCTGGGGGGCTTGCGTCGACGTCACTCAGCACTGGAAGAGGGAAAAATCGCGCCAGGAAATCGGGAACATCTGCAGGGAGTCTCAGCGACAGCTCGTCCAGTGTCAAAAGACAGGTAAGTTGATAGTCACCGCACTTGAGCATAAATATGAAAAATCCAATTATTTAGCTACGGTTTTTGCGTTTTTTTTAGTTATTTATTGGAATTTAATATCTCATGATTTTTATATTCATTTGAAATCATTCAAAAATATAAAAATGTCTTTTTAATCAGAAAATGCAAACTAGAAATTCTGACTAAAGTTGAATTACAAGGAAATTTCAGGAAACTATGCATACGAATTGAGTAATGCATATAATGACAATTTAAATTAAAAAATACGAATTTTCAAATCAATTAAATTACTCATTCAATGGAAAATTAATTAGCTAAAGTCATCATTATCAGATAAAAATATCTCGAAATAATGAAGACCCAAAAGCAGTTAGATTTTATGATCTATCCGCCCTTCTCCTTCTTCTATCCGCCCTACATGTTCAGAATTAGCAATGTGACCCCCCTTATAAATAATCCCTTTACTCAACGTTTCTTAGTGGGAACATGCAATTTTGGACCACTTTTTTCATTGTTAAATTGAATTTGCAATTTTTCCATAAAAAGGGCACCACACCGTCTTCGTGTGAACTCATAATCCTCCCACTATGTCGATGCTGCACGGAAAAAAATCATTATTTATAATCTGTTGCCAAATTCCTAAAATAAAGTCAAGTGGAAAAAATCAAGTAAACACAAAATATAGATTTGGCAAATTCCATGAATAAAAAGTGATTTAAAACCGATAATTTCCCCCTTAAAAAGTTGCTAGTTAAAAGGAGCACAGCTTTAGCTTCGAACGCAAAAAAATGCCCGCGACTTTTCTATAAGTATCCATCACTCCTAACACCACTAGCCAATAATAACTACCAAAATCAACCACATTATTATTTCCACTCTAGCAAAATAAAATGTTAATAATAATATTTGCTTGCAAAATTGAAAAAACCGCGTTTTATTCTTTACATTGCTGCTGGCAACTATTTTCATGTCCAAGGCTGGCAAGAAACGCTGTATGATTTTCTAAATCGTGTTTAAGTGCGAGACATTTTTCCCTTCTGTTCATAAGTTTATTCAAAAGAGCTCTTTCCCTGAACATATGCGACTATTCGAAAATAATTGAAGATGAATGTGAGTGCCAGTTTTGTGTCAATAAAAAACAAAATAATCAACCATGAACTGAGCGAATCGGTCATTGAGTTAGACGAGTTGGTAAGTTGTAAAAATGTATAAAATAAATAAGTTTTAACCATGTTAGCCATTTATGGATAAATACATTCTTAAATAAATACGTAGTTATCGAGTTGAAATAAATGCCAACGTTATATTCGATTTGCTGCATATTCAGTCGTAAAATATATTCCAAAAACAGGATATTAGTTTAGCATGTGCACAATGTATCGGATGTCACTCGAGGAAAAATGTCGGCTTTATGTGATGGATATTAACTTTGGCATCGGCCACTTTTGAATATGCTGGCTGTTTAGATTGATGCCCACATTGACCTATTATAATCGAAATAGACCGGACTGCATTGCGGATGGCATAATTTCTCATTTCGACATGATTTTGCTAAAATCACGATCAAATTAAAAACCCTTTTTCCTGTAAGTCACTCCACAATTGAGCCAATTGGCAATGGAAACAGATCGGTTGATGCTGCCTCCATTTGTTCCATTTCCGCTAAAAACCGAACCAAAACGCATCCGTCTTCTGGTAGCGTCGATGACCAACGAGTAATGGGTCCTCATGGCATCTCATTAGTTTTTATTATTTAAAGGAAATACCGTCTTAGTGCGAGAGAAGTTAAAGGTTTATTTTAAAAGCACTCATTAAATGGCCTGCATATGTTTACATCTTTAATGCTATTTTTACTGGACGGTCGGATTTAAGGCTTAAGACTTTAATATGGGCCTTTTTATACACTCAAAGACGGCAGTCTGATGAATATTGCAACGGTTTTCAACCTCCAGGTGATTTTTTATTCGGCTTATTCAGTTGACGTAAATACATTTTTGAAGGGTTTGGTTTATTGCACTTTTGATTTTAATGATTAATTATGTTATACTAAATTTAGTGTATATTTTGAGCTTTGCCTTATCTTGCTTCCGCAACCTGTTCTCACACAAATGGTTCATTTGTCTGAAGTGAAACACTAGGCAACAAATACCAGATAAAAGTGTATAGATTTTTCTCTGCAAAAAGTTCATTGAACCATCTGAAAATCAATTAAATCATTAAAACGAAACGCTTTTCTCCGTGTAAGTTCCATAGGTGAGACGGGCAATAACCATATCTAAATGACCAGTAAAAGAATTTATAACAAACAAGTTTTGGTACTTGTGTGAGCCTAATGTTGTTTTATTATCCGGTGAGGTAAGAGATTTTATTTCAGATATCCCTACCTGTATATACAATTACAAATAATTTAAATTAAATATTACCGATGGAATGTTGAGTAGTTTTTCTTGTTTTTTTTTCTGGTTCATCTCGGACGACTTCTAATATTTCAAATCAATTGTCAGTCGAAATTAGGGTACTTAAGCTATGGCTTGAATTACCGTGTTATTACGGCCAGTGTGGTGCACACTTTGAATAGCACATTTGATTTTAGGCTTCAAGCTTTTTACAATCCACAAAAAAATTGAAGAACCGATCAAGAATTTTTTGATTTGAAGTCGTTATTTGTTCAATTGAAATTTGATTTTGATTTGATAAACTTGGAAGCTTTTTCATTGAATCTTAAAGGCTGATGATAAAGCTGTTGCTAAGTTGTACATGTATGTACTCGCTTCCATCTGGAAAGGTCGAAGATAGGGTGCCCAAATAAAATTTTCTTTTGATTCCTTATTCCGACACACAGAATATAACTTCCAATATTCAACTTGTAGTGAATGAGGACGTAGCTTAAATTTGCGTTTCGAGTTATATTTGTTTTGTGCCAAAGTGAAACTTTTTGCTCACTTAGAATGAGTGATGAGAGTGAGCACGGAAGCTGCTTAGCAAGAACTACTAAACGTAATAAAACAGAAAACAGCCCCCAGATAAACAGAATTAACAACAAACAATGCAAAAAATATACTGAATGAAACAAGAAAAAAACTGTTTTTCCAATAATGTCAATCAATAATCTAATCTATGAGGTATGTGTATTTCGTGCCCAAATCCAGTCTTCAACATATAGGTAAGGAAGAAGACAGTACCATCTGTTTTACTGCTAAGGAAGATAAAGCAAATGTATGATCAGTGAGATCTGTAATTCACATATGTATAGCTTTATTAGTATGGAAACTGGGAAAGATGAAAATTTAGATAAGGGATTAACAGCATGAATAATCAACCGAGAAAAAAACACCGGCCAATTTATATTCGTCTGTGGCAATAAGATCCATAAATTCTCAGGCTACTAAGAGCGCAAAAGAACCATCGAATTTTCGTGAGGAAGCACAAAAATTAACAACAATAAAGGCTACTAAAAACTTTCAAATACTAACCAGATTTCAGCATGTAAATGATTCTGAAGATACGAAAGAATGAAAAGAAAGAAACGGTATTGTTGCTGTGGAAGTATATGGATGATTTAACAGCGTTTCACATCCGAAAAATAAAAACTTGTATAAAAGGAAGGTTCTCTTCAATAAAATTAACAAATCTCGAAAAATACGGGATATGTACAAGTAAAATAAACCGTAGGAAATTATTCCATCTTCCCATTAACAGAAGTAACAGAAAAAAAAGCTTCAGATAAAATAAAATTGGCACTGAATACTGCAAATTCCACCCGATTTTGCAAAATGGTTTTTAAAGAACAAATAATTTGAACTTCCATCCACTCGAACACTCATATGCGAAATCAGGATCATAGCTTGTTTTCGATATCGAAGTCCAAAACTCTACATAGTTGAAGTTAATATTCCCCCAACCCCGGCGTGTTTATTATGGTTTGTACACATCCTAAAACATGTTTGCGACCTAATCCTTTATCACAGCTGAGCGACTGCTTTCTACAGTGTTATGCATATGTAGCTGATTGAGAATTTACCCAGCTTGTACAGAAGGATAATTTCACACACTATTTACTACACATAAGGATGCTCTTAGATACCTTTGAAGATATTAGTAGCAAAGCTTTGGCTTTCCATTTAATGGACACGTCTCATTCATTTTCAGAAATGTTGAACAGTTGCATCTGAACCGAAATTCTAATCGTGCAGAACAGTGACTATGTAAAAATGTTACTGTTATCTAATTAATTCATTGAAATCATCAAATATAAATTCCAATTCCGCTAGATCATAAGAGAAAATATCCCAATTGCCACTAAGAATATGGCACTTTTAAATGTACAGCATTTTTTAATTCACATAAAGAAGGCTTGAAACCCGTTTATGCGGTCTTTGAATTGTAAATTTATCGTTGAAATTCTTATTACCTGAAATACGACTTCTCAAATAAACCTTCATTCCCACACACTAATGGGTCAAACGTATTTTTTTGGTAATAATTGCTCACCAGAATATAACTTTATTACATGTTTGCTTGTTAGTTTGTGTAAATTAGAAGGAATTTATTCATACCGTCTCGGATTTACCGAATAATTATTGAGCTGCTTAATAATATGTGCTTCGGCTTATCACAGTTGGTTCCATACCACATTAGTTACTTTGTTTGCTTAACAGAGATGAACGTGTTATTAGTTTGATTGTTTTCCTCGCCCTCGTCAATCGTCTTGATTTTATCAAAATTTTAAATTGTCTGAGACCAATCCTCTACCTGATTGATCCAAAACTGTCCCATCTTGAAATGATTCACAAATCAGCAGCATGATTGAAGGACTTTTATAAAGCCCAACTCACCAACGGATATACCAATTACAACGGAAAATCGCATTTAGTTTCACATGTAATTATTTCATCAAGTTTTAAATCAAGCAGTATTATCTGGACTTTATTTTTATTTACCCGCAGTTTTTGTACCTGCTAATGAAGAAGCGTATCCTCGTTCGAAACTTTAATTAAACC